AAAGTCAACGGAGGAGGTGCGAATATTCGCCTTCCTCCCCTACCCCTCTTCCCACAATTTGTTCCGAGCCACTGCTTCATTCAATTCACAAGGATTTGCCATATTTCAGTTGTTCATCATAGCGTGTCGTCCAATCAAATTCATAATCACGCTAAAAAAAAAACTCACTGCTTCCCATCAATCTCGACTGACCCTCAAAAACAATAATTGTTTTTTCTTACACAGTATGCTTCATAAAAAATTAAATTTTTTCGAAATCCAAATCTTCCTTTGCATCCATTCCGGCTTTAAATTTAGCAATTAATTTAACTTTACATTTCATGTAAAGTTTCTTGGATCACATACTTCCAGTATGCGTACGTATGTACATTCATGCATGCACATATATGTGTATAATTATTTATTTAACAGTATCGCTAAGAAGAAAATGCTAGACCCATCAAGTTGCATTGTTCTATCCAAGTACTGCACCTGTCGGCAAAGCGGTTATAGCACAGTTTTATATCTTTACATGAAATGTATGGAAGTATGTAATCCAAGAAAGAAAGATCTGTGAGACTATCTCAGTAACTCAATGACATGCGATAGAGAAGTGAAGTACGGGCGATCTTGAAATTCATTCTGTGTAATGGAAATAATAATATGTAGACACATTTAAACAACTGATTCCGATTTTTTTCCTTCTATATGCGTTTTGGTTACCTATGCAAATACAATATTTGATGTATCCAGGCGCAAGACCATACCAATTTTATGCATAAAGGTAGTATCGCGACCCTAACAGTTGTTTTATTGGACTACTGTATGTCCCGTTTGTATGGTGTGTGTATGTGTGTGTAACACGTCGCGCCCTACATACATGTTTATTATACATAATAAAGTAAAGGATAAGGCATAAAAAGTAGATGAGGCTCTGGGGAACCGAAGCTCTCCAGAATAGGAGTAGCAGTATATAGAATAAGTAGGTTAGAATAAGTAGGTCGAAAGTGGTGATCCAGGCGATGGGGAGGAGTGCTTTTATACCCCAGGGAACAAAGATCGGAAGTTCAGTGAGGGTAGGGCGGTTAAAGTTTGAATCAGGGACAGGGGTACTGCGTCACAGTAACGCAGTTGTTCTTTAATCTATTTTTAACAAAAACCATTAATCACTATTTGATATATTACGTGATAATAGGCACATGAACAATAGATATCTACATAAAAGTAGAGCTGCCCATACAGTCTAAATCGCGAGTTAAATGGTCGCCAACTA